GCATGTGTGTTTGCCTGGGGGTTTCAGACACTGTCCCGGTCCTGCCCACTCCCCACTCTGTAGCTGACCTTTGCTGGGGGGCAGACTGGAATCACGGGGGAGGCGGCAGTCCCGGGAGCAGCCTCAACCAACCATTGCTGGGACTTTTCCCTCAATGGTGGAAAAGTCTCTTCTGTTCCTCACTCCTTGGGGGGCCCACTCCCAGATGTGGCCCCCCTCCCTGAGGTCCCCAGCTGGGTGGAACCCCTGTCCCCACTTCAATGACCTGTCCATTGACTTGTCCTCTTCTGACTTCGAGTACTCCCCTGTCTCAGTTCTCTACTCTGCTGCTGGTGCTTCGAAGGAATCGCCTCCCAGAGCACCTGCTTCCTCTTGAGTGCTGGCCTGAGCTCTGCTTCAGGGCCAACCTGCAACAACACACAGAGCCCCGTGTGTCAGAGGGACAGCGGGCGGGACCGCGCAGAGCACGTGCTCTGTAATCAGTCAGGCTCGTCTGTTCTTGGGGAGCAGGTGGGGCTGATTTTAGGCAGGTTAGAGGAACCCATGCTTCTCACTCTACGTCACCCCAGGTTGAGGCAGGAAACCTCACAGAGGAAACCCAGGGACTGTGTCGTGTGTCTGCCACAGCATACAAGACTGCAAGAGCTACTTGTTAAAATTTCAGGATTTGCCAAGCTGGTCACTAAATTCTTGATCGCTATAAATCAGCCTTGGTGGAAGAATTTACAGCATGGAAATCAGCAAATGCTACACATCAGGCCCCTCACAGCTGGTCCATCACTGTCCAACCTGAGACAGTGCTCCCTCATGAGGATGATATGGGTTGTGGTGCTGTCATCTGTTTGCAGTTGTCTCCCAGGATTGCTGATCCTGCTTCAGGAGGGTGGGACATGGATGCTGATGGCTCTCAGGTGCCGTATTCCACAGCTTCACAGCCTCCCAAGGAGAAGCCTGGGGGTTTTGTCCCCTCTGCCCCCATTCTGTGGCTGGTGACTGACTATGAGGGGACATCAGAGCCCAGCCCCGGCCTCAGTCAGTCCTAAAGCGGGGGTGTAATTCTGGTTCCTGGGCTTTTCTAGGTGAGGCTGAAGCTGGGCTAAGGGGGATCACCTCTCTGCTCAGCTCCTTCCTCTGCCCAATCCTGCTCTCCTCCCCCTCCTCCTGACCACACCCCTCAATGAATCACATGACTCTGAATTCCCAGCTCAGGCCCTGCTCCTAGAGAACCGACCTAGGATGGCGGTGGAGCTATGCAAAGCCTGGTCAGGTTATCCCAGGTGGTTCAGGTGTGGGGCCTACGTGGAGCGGAGAGAGAGGAGGCGCGGAGGTGTACAGGGTAGGGGTGCAGGAGAGGAGTTGGGGCGGCGCAGCGCTGGCAGCCAAGGGGCCCTGAGGAGTTTACAGAGTGCTCAGAATAGCACAGGAGGCCGAGAGCCCAGGGAGATGACTCCTAGTGGTTTCCCAGTGTTTGTGCAGATGTGGAGGCCACGGACCTCAGTGGGGGCGGCCTCAGAGATTTGGGGGCACAGAAGCCCCACGCAGTGAGGGCAGGAGAAGCAAGAGGTGAGGAAGAGGGGAGGCCATGAGTGGGGACACATAGGGGCTTCTCCTTCCGCCAGACCCCCGCTGTGCCAGAGAGGGACACTGGGCTGTTATCAGGCAAGGTCCTTGTTGATGTGGCCCTTGACCCCCACTTCTGAGGTCTCTGGAGTCATTTTCGGGTCCCCTATATGTGACAGGGCACTTCACTTTGTCATGAATAGGGCAGAGAAAGAGAATGCTGAGGAGTATGGACATCTGAAAGCCATTGCTCCTCTGCCTGTGTGGCCCTAGGCAGAAGAAGAGATCTTTCTGGGCCTCTGTCTATCTGTAATTGGGACCCACGTAGCCTAATTTGAGGGGCTGGTCAATGGCTTAGCTCGAGAAACAAGGTCAAGTACAACATAGCGGTTGAATCTGAGGCGGAGGCTGATAGAGTCTAGGAGACCATAGTGAGTCTGGGTCCATCTCAGGGCACAGACCCGGCTCGTGTGTCGGAGCAGGGACCCAGAGAGACACTTGGAATCCCCATCAGAGCAGCAGGAGGGAAATACATGTCATTCGGTCCTGAGCGAGCAGAACTGGCCCGTCTGCACGAGCCTGTTCCGTCTGGTCCTTACTAGTCAGCAGCTGACACAGTGGGGGGCCTCCAGGCTGCTCTGCTCCGACTGAGGGATGCCCGTGCCAGTCACATGCCAAGAGTCCTGTTCCCCAGCCCCATGGACTCTCTAGCTTCAGCCTGAGAGTGGGGCTCCCTTGTGTCCCATTCGCACCCCCTGTTCTCCTGTGTGTCACTCTGCCCCTGTGCCTACCCAGCCAGAGCAGCGAAGGATGCTGACAGGGGAGACAGGAGTACACTGGGACTTTCAGGGCCCTGGCACTTCTATCTTCCTGGGCCTCTGCATTCACAAAATACTCTTAAAACTTGCAATATACAACTGCATTGATATAAAC